CAATTTAACACTTCTTTTACTTAAAGTTTGTTTTTCTTTATGCAAGTTATTATCCTTGTCATTTATCACCGTTTTACTTCCTTTTACCGTTACTTAAATTCATTCATACTTGAAATAAGTTGTCTTACGATGGAACTCTTCGAAGTGTTTATAATTTCCATTCACTTAATTTAAAAGACCAATTAGCATATGTCCTAGGATTTGTGTGGTCGATCCTACAAATAACACAAATATCTTTCGATCTGTTAGACCAACGGTTGTTCGCTAATCTTCATGGTGAACAACGGGAACTGGTTTTGTGATTCTCCAGATGAAAATTGGACTTTGAAACAATGTTTACCAGACGGGAGTTGGAGTTTAAAAAATAGGCTAAAGAATGGGTGACCAGACGAGAACTATTTTGAAGGTTGTCTACCAGACGAGAACTGGTATCTTGAGATGATTTTCTAGACGGGAACTTATTTTGGAAGTGATTTTGGTTATAAAGTTCTGACAGGTAACAGGTTCAGGCTGTGGGATGAAACCCAATGACAGAATGCCAGGATATGAAGATTCCAAGCAATGGAAAGGGGGTCCTTTACAATAAGGCTTTTTCAGAAGGCTAAGGTTATGTGATAGGGTGATGGCACGATTCCCTGACACGTCTTGAACTCAACAGTCGCTAACGAAATTTCCTTGAGCAGCTTAAAAGCATGGAGAGGATTTTCCCCAATGTAGTTCAACTTTCCCCAGCCATGAGATGACCTCGAGATGGCTTGCCTCAGAATATACATCATGAAATGATTTGTTCTTGATTAATCGACTCTGGGAGTGGTTAGCTTTAATGTACTCTTATGGTACCTTGCCTCTGAATGAGCATCATGAAAAGATTTGTCCTTGATTAACTGACTCTTGGAGTGGTTAGCCTCAATGTACTCTTGAGGTAGCTTGCCTCTGAATGAGCATTAAGCGACTTAACTTGTCCTGACGGAACACTAGAGGGATTTTCCCTTAATCAACAGAATCTCTAGGTGACCTGCCCCTGGTTGGTAGAGTCTCGAGATGATTCACTTCTGATCAACCGGTTCTCGAATGATTTTCCCCATAATCAACTGATGCTTAGGGAATTTCCTTAGAATGACTGATTCCATATTCATTGGATGTGAATGCCCCAGATCCATAGGGCTACAAGATATACTCGATTTTGGTCCAGACTACTAAATGATCCAGACCTCTTCGATTGCTCCTTGTTGGAATTTCCTCAATGTCAATTACTGACCTGTAATTAAAATTGTTCGTTCAAGAATGGTAATTTAATGCGATGCTCATGCAAGCTTTGAAAAAAAAATCATTATTAGAGTGATGTGATAGTGTGTGACGAATGGACCAATAATCCAGACGCAGTCCCGATTTAGGTAGTAAAAGATACAACAAGAAGAAGATTAGCAAATCTTGTAGGAGTCAGTTTACACAACCTTGTTGTAGTATGCCTTTAGAATAAAACATGCCTCAATTAGGTCTTTTAAGGGTTGAATCTTGGTCTGGTTCACGGTTATTGAAACAAAGGATGAAAGACTCAAAGTTTGATTGTTACCCATCCTTTCTCCGTGATAATCTCCAGTCCTACGCTCAACTAGCTTGGCACAAGCACTCACCTTCCAAATAGTTTATTGAATGGTAGGGGTGATGGTTAAGGAACCCACAAGGTTTTCTGAGTGACATTTAACCCTCTCGTCTTTGGTGTCTGTAGTCACACGACTTTGTTCTGCTCGAGGATTTTTATTTTGTAATCCTTTTCTTTTTATTCTTTTGTTCCCTAATTTCTGCCTAGACTGATTATTTTGAACTTTTCGATTTTAAAGTCTACTTGGATGTCCTAATTTTTGCCTAAGTCTTTTGTTTTCAAGTTTTTCGAATTAGCGGGCTTTCTTTCTTTTTTCTCTTTTCTTTTTGTCTTTGAAACAAGTCAAGTGACACTGGTTGTCTTGATTTCTCCGAAAGGGTTGTGACTGTCTGACTCCTGGTTGGTGAGGTATAACCATTGTGGTTGTTGAGGTACGACCTCTTGAGAGGGATATGATATGATTGGTCCTCGAATGGGGACACTCCTCTTAAAATTCGAACGCTCGGTCAAATTAACTGATAACTACCCTGCCCCAGGTTAAGATGTGAGGAATTGAAACTCCGAAGGAAACTCCTACTTCTAGGCTCTAAGTGGCTAACTAGGGACTAACTTCTTATCTCTCCGGTGTTTAGGAGATTTGAAACAATGCATGTACATCATCAGCATGATTTTATCCGAAAGTATACGATCAACAATTATGGGTATTCATTTGTCTTCATCCTCCCTCCAATCTTTGCTAAAACAACAATGATAAAGTGAACTAAATAAGAGGTATATGTGTCTGTGCTTTGCAATTAATGATAAAAATGAGCGAATGCAACATGATTTTTCAGAAAATACATAATCAATTCATTGATATTACCATTCAGAACAAATAGCAATTAATAAGAAAGAAACTACAAATGCAAATGATAAAGGTGCCCAAGGACTGCCAATGTTGAGGATGTCTTCCTGCCTGGACCATTGGCTTTTTAGGAGATGGCCCTTGAAGTCTTCGAGCTTACACAACTGAGAGGATGACATGCACAACCAAATTTCCTTATGGAAAGGATATATACCCTTTGTCAATCAACTATTGTACCTTGACTTGGAAGACTTTGCAATCTTCGGTTGAGTGCCCCCTGGATCCTCCATGATATCCACATTGCACATGGGGATTGTACCTAGGAGGGTAAGGTTTTGAAACATGCTTAAGAGTCTTAGGCTCCACCAATGCGTTTTGAATTAGATGTTGCAGAAGCTGGCTGTACGACATATGAACTGGATAAAGAGGAGCATTCCTTCTTTCCAAGTTTTTGTGAGGCCTATTCTAATTATGGCGCTGGTTTTGATAACCTCGGCCATGGGCTCGTTGATTTACATACAACCGATGATGTATCTGCTGCACCTATTTTTACTCCTAGAGTTTTAAAACCAGTTGAGTTTGTTATACCATTTCATAATGATTTGGATTTATTATGTTGATGTGTTGCACCTCTAATATTTCATATTTTACAGAAGAAGAAGACGAACAAACCAAAAGTTGCAAGAAAATTGGAGTTGAGGAGAAGTGACAGGACAAGGGTCCTTAGATGCAAAAACCTGACAGGAGAAGAGAGTAATCCATCACAACCTATGGATGTGGACAAGGTTCCTTAAACATCTTATTATGGTGTATTTTGATGCCTTTTGGCTATGTATGTTGTGTCTTTATTGTATTTTGATACAAAAGTCTATGCCTCTTGGCTTTATGTAGATCTAAGACATATAACATCATTAAGGTTTATGTATGGTGTGTGTCTTTGTTGTACTTTGAGACAAAATTATATGCCTTTTTGACTTTATGTAATTGTGAGACATAAAACATCGTTATGGTTTATGTATGGTGTGTCTTTGTTGTATATTGAGACAACTTTATATGCCTTTATGTTCTACAATATTGAATAAATGCTTGAAATACAAACAAATCATTAACAAACATGTATGTAATACAAACAAATCATTAAGAAAGAGGGATGCAAAACAAAATTTACAAACATATAGAGACGAAAATAAAAAATTTCATAAGTTCCGATTCATTCCATAATTAAGCTTTACAGGGATGAAATTCAACAACTATCATTCTTCTAGGGACTAAAAAAAATTACAAACACCAAGAACGTGAAACACACTACTATTTCTAGTAGGCAAAGAACAAACACCATGAAAGAGATAACAAAAGTTTAAACATTTTAGTCTTCTTCCTTTCGTTTTCCAACTTCAATTTCATCTTCTCTTTTTTCCTACCTTCAAGATCTTTAATGATGCAACCTAATTCTTGAACTACCTCTGAGCAATTGCATCAAATTGAGTTTTTGTGTTCACTTGATGTGTTGCATTCAAGTTCATCATCTCATATGAATAACTTGCCACCTAATCTTGAATTAGAACATTTTCAGAATCTTCTTTTAAGACTTTCAGTTGAATTTGAGAAGAACATCCTCATTGCTTTACTGCAACCATAAACTAGGATTTGAGACTCACAAAAATTACTTACAGACGACGTTGCCATGGTTGAATTTGCATTACGATTTGAGGAAGAAGAGATGAATAACTAATGAAGAAGAGATGAATAACAGATGAAGAAGAGATGAAGAAGAGATGCAAAAATGGTGTCTTTTTTTGGATTCAGTCCTCCTTTACAAGGCCCCTCCACTAGGTTTTCCACGTAAAAATTTAAATGAATTCCACGTGTGCGTTGTTAATCAATTCAACATTTTTTTAATAAAATTATAACCTCAGAGACTAACACCAATACAAAAATAAGATTTAGAAACTCAAACAAAAAATAAAATACAGAGATCAAAATCTAAAACTCACAAATTTACCAAAACCACAATACTATTTAAATCTAAATATTTTTATATGACAAATATGAATAGAAAATATCTTTTAAATAAACTAACATTTTAAATATCAGTTGCCCATCAATATTCACCTATGTTCATACTATTAAATATCAGTTGACTGACCATAGGTGAAAACTCCTGTACAGTAACAGCTTGATGAACAGATATATATGGCAAACACAGTTTTCAAACATCAGAACCAAACAATGATGTCTCTCACAGTACATTTTATATTTTTATTCACTTATTTTCCTGAACAACAACAAAACACAGTTTATAAATTAGGAATAAAAATTATTAACGCAATTACTTCATCGTACCTAAGTTATTAAACTTTCTTGCGTACACTCTTTCTCATAATTCCTTATTTTTCTGCTTTACATAAAATGGACAAATGGCCTTAAACTTCACCCACTCTCTTGTGTCGGTTTTTATTTTTCTTCTCTATAAATATAAATCTCTGTTCAATTTTTTCTCTCATTCATTATTAATCATCACACACTAATTTTCTTTGTTTTGCAACTACTACAATGGAGGTTGGAAGCGTGCTCAATTTTCTTCAAGACAAGAGTATTTTAATCACTGGAGCTACTGGGTTTCTTGCTAAAAGTATGTACCTTTTTTTTCTGTGTTTCTTGTTTTTTTTTTTTTACCTTAAACATGGTACAGTGATTTTATCGTATTTATGTTTGGTTTTTATTACAGTTTTGTTGGAGAAGATATTGAGAGTTCAACCAAATGTTAAGAAGGTTTATCTTCTTTTAAGAGCTCAAGATGCAAAATCTGCAACTCACCGGTTTCAGAATGAGGTACAATTTTTGAAACATTTATTTATGTAGAAATTATGGCAAAATTTGTTTTGTACTTTCATTTTCTCTTTTGTTTGATTTTGAAACATGTTTGCAGACTGTATGTAATAGTAACCAAAGTTTTAAATAGCCACCGCATTCATTTAAAGACTTTCGCAATTTCGGTTAACACAAATATTGTAAAATATATCACGATCAATGATAACGACAGATCAGTGTCAAAAGATGTTATATCGATATTGTTATTTATTTCGATTAACACAAGTATTGTAAAATGTCATGATCAATGTTGTTGTTATTTTCGTGATTTGTCGTTGTCATTTTTGTATTTTTTTTAATTTAGTTTAAATATGTTGATTATTTAATAGATTTAAAAAATATTTTAATAAAAAAATTAGAGAGAGTGAGTATTTATTAGACTTGGACAAATTTGGATTTTCTATTCTCTAAAAAAGTTTGTCTTCAATTTTCTATTTTAAATGATTGCTTTATTTTTCTTCTAAAATTTCCATTTCATTTCATTTTGGTCCCATTATATGATGTTGATTTGTACATGTCATGAGAGTTAAAAAGTTAGGTTAAGAATTAATTATATGAGAATTTATAAACTCATCTGAAAGATCGGTGATATACTCATTCATGGATTTAGGGAATTAACATTTGTTTGATAAAAATCAAACGATTTAGATTAAGTTTGTTATTTTAAATTATAAAACAAAAATAAAATTTAATATATTTTAAATTATTAGATCTTGATCAAACAGCTATCGAAATTACGAAATTGCATGATTTTTGCAATAACATGACAATTATTCATTTTAATAAAATTAATTTAATAAAATTGTTAGTCTCTATATTTATTTTATATTATATTTAATTTGTGTGAATTAATTTAATATTTAGTATAGAGAATAGATTGAAAAATGAGGAGCAGCATTTATGACTATGAAGTGACAAACTAAAGACTCCAATTTGTCTTGCTTTACAATGTCTTTCTCCCTCCTTAGAATATCACACTGGAAACGTCACCAAAAAATCTCATTTTAAATAAAATCTGTTTTTAAATATAAATTTTATTTAAAATTTAAAAATAATTTTTAATTATTATTTCAAATATATCTAACTAAATTTATAAAAATTAATTGTCAAAATCACTTTATAATAAGTAACTAGGTGATTTTTCAATCATTGACACATTTATTTTCTCAGCATATATTTCAGATGAATCATGATAATTAATTAAACTTAAGCTAACTATAAATATGTATTTTGTGTGTAGATAATTGGGAAAGACTTGTTTAAATTGCTAAAGGAAAAATTGGGTGCAAATTTTTCTACATTTCTATTGGAAAAGTTGACTCTGGTTCCTGGTGACATTTCTTTTGAAGACTTGGGATTAGAAGATTGTATTCTAAAGGAAGAAATTTATAATCAAACAGATGTTATTATTAATTTAGCTGCAAATACCAACTTTGATGAAAGGTACATAAAAGACTATAGACTTTTTATATTATTTTGCCAAATTTTAATTTTATTTTTCACTTTTTGATTTCATGTTTATACAGATATGATTTATCTTTGGGCCTAAATACACTTGGAGCTAAGTATGTTATCAACTTTGCCAAAAAATGTGGTCAACTCAAGGTTCTTGTGCATGTATCAACAGGTTAGTATCAATTCTTTTAAGTTAGAAAAAACAATTAATGTGTTGGTGAATGTTTGATCTCAAGTTTAATTTCAGCTTATGTATGTGGAGAGGGAGAAGGGCTTATATTAGAGAAACCATATCATATGGGCCAATCATTAAATGGTGTGAGTGGATTAGACATTGATGCTGAAGAAAGAATAGTGAGAGACAAATTGAGTGAGCTACAACAGCTTGGAGCAACAGAGGCTGAAATTAAAATGGCTATGAAGAATTTGGGTCTCAGCAGGTTTGTCAAATATTATTTTAATCATATAATATTTATAATTATTAACTACAATTTATCATATAGAAATATTTAGCACTGACCTAAGAATTTATGTAAAAAAAATTTTTTTTTATAATATATTAAATATATTAAATTTTTAATGAATCTAAAAAGTCAATTTTTTCTATAAAGAGAAAATATAAATAATGACCTATTTATTAGCTTAGGGAGTCTTTTGTGGTCCATGTGTTTAGCTTGAAATTGTTTCCTTTGTATGTGACATGATAAAAGAAATAAAAGTTATTGCAAACCTATTACTAAATATTGCATAATGATTTTTATTTAGGATCTACATAAATATGTGGGACTCTTGTTCTAAATAATATATTTAAAACCAATGGTTACATTAATCAAACAATTTCCTTAGAAAAGTAAAGAGAATGACCTAGAAATTTAGTTAGTGGGATCAACATCATTTATTATAAAAATATAATAAAAATATATAGAGACATAAGCAATAAAATAATCACTTCAAATCAAACACTTTACAAAAAAAAAAACTATTATAACCAAAAATGTAATGTTGGGTTCAGAGTCTTATTAAGAATTTGAAAAAATGTTAACTTTAATATCTATTTTTTTGTTACCATTAATCTTGGGTAGCTACTACTATTATTTTGTAGATTGAATTATTAGTAACATAAGAGAAGAAGGTAACTAATCGACACATGCATTGCCTTTGCTATATTAAATATTTTGTATTAATTCTTACCAAACATGAACAACTCATCTAGCTTCTACATAAATTTATAATCAAACTCTTGCTAAAAAAACAAAAATTCGAAAAATATTAAATTCAATTTCTAATGAGAATAATATTTGACCAAACATATGATCTCTTAGACCGAACTCTGAATTATTATAGTCCATTTTCTCTGATAATCAGAGAATGAACTTTAGACTTTTCGTAGTAATTTGTCCTACAAATCCTTGATTATAATAGATTTCTAAATATTCCATCAAATAAATATGTTCAACTAACAACTTGTGGCCCATTGTCCTTTGAGTTAATAGATGCATCAATATCTCTCAATTATTTGTATTTACTTTTGTTTTATCTAGCATTTGATACATTACTAATTATTAGGATTATTCATGATATGGTTACTCACAAAACTAAACCTAACCATATGAATCATATATAATAAAAAAATTAAAGAATAGAACCAAATTGTTTGATACTTCCTAACCGAATTTAACCAAAATATTAGTTTAATATTCTAAATTCCGAACCCAACTAAATTGTAAATAGTATTTTTTATGAACTGAATTATTATAATTTTAAATTTTTATTATAGTTCAATTGTTCGATTTGGTTTATTAATTGAACCGTATCATGAATATCATATATATTTGATCAATAAATTTTGGTTTTATTATTTTAGTTTTAATTCAGTTAATTACAGATCGGTTCAGTTTTTAAATTGTTTGAAAAACACGAGAGTTCAGTTGATTAATCAAAAGAAATGATTTACTTTAATCAGAGCAAAGTTATATGGATGGCCAAACACATATGTATTCACAAAGGCAATGGGAGAAATGCTTGTGGGCCAATTGAAAGGAAATTTGTCTGTTGTAATTGTTCGTCCTGCCATTGTCACAAGTACATTCAAAGAACCTTTCCCTGGTTGGTCTGAAGGAGTAAGGTACATTCAAACAGGCACCAACATTACGTTTAATTAATTTATTTATTTGAATTATTATCTTTGTCGACGTGTCAGTGTTGATGTTGTGTTTCTGATGTCCGTGCCTGTTTTTGTTAACTACAGGACTATTGATAGTTTAGCCTTAGCTTATGGCAAAGGAAAATTAACATGCTTCCTTGGAGATCCTAATGCAATTGTTGATGTGGTAAAGTTCATATTTATTTATGCTTAATCAAAATTTATTTATTCATTAAATTTTTCTAATCCTGTTTTAATAACCAGATTCCAGCTGACATGGTGGTGAATGCAATGCTAGTTGCCATTGTTGCTCATGCAAATTATTCTAATTGTGATAGTATATATCATGTTGGTTCCTCTGTTAGAAAACCTGTTATATATAGTGATCTTCAAGAGTTTGGATTTCGACATTTCACTGCGAATCCGTGGATTAACAAAGATGGAAAGGCTGTTAAAGTTGGCAAAGTTACTGTGTTTAATAACATGGAGAGCTTCAGAAGATTCATGTTCATTCGCTACCTTCTTATGTTAAAGGTTAATTTCTAACTTTTCGATTTGTTTATAATCGCTAACATGACTTTAAATTGCGGTCGCGGTTAAACTATGATCCTGGGAATCGTGGGAAAGTGTAGTTGATACACTCAAATTAATTGTTTATTCGCGGAAGAAAATAGGTCCGGTCCGTAGGTATGTCCGCATGTTTTCGTAGGTCGAATCAAAATTTTAAGTCTGCATTCTCTATAATGTCTGGTTTGCTCCGCCATTTTTTTATGGGCGCGGATATTAATATGAATTTTTACATCTTTTAGACTTTAGAGTTTCACGTCTATCAGACCATCTACTTACCTTACCCTCAATTTTATTTGAGATGGTTAAAGGTTTTAGATTCGCACCCTGTTCCGTTTTTTCAGGCTTTTACGAGGTGGACATGCCTGTTTTATACCCCTAAGTGCGGCCTCAATTTAGTTTTCGCAAGTTAAGACCATGATCACTAACAAGTAGCTTTTGCATTTGACAGGGACTTGAACTAGCTAATACTGCACTTTGTCAGTATTTCCAAGGGACATATCTTGATCTCAAAAGGAAGATTCAAATTGTGAATCGTTTGGTCGACCTTTACAAGCCTTACTTATTCTTCAAGGGCGTGTAAGTTTTATCCGAGTTACTATAATCTTAATGTATGTCCGAATATATCGCGATAAAATGTGGCCGAAGCAGTTGTAACCGCCGTTGCACACGACTTCAAAACAAGTTACATTACATTACATTATCACTCTTAGTCAGATTTATAGCGTTGAGTTAGTCCTCACTCGCATATATTTCATTATAAATTGCGCGCTTAACAAAAGAATGTTTGTGACATGCAGATTCGATGACATGAACACAGAGATGTTGAGAATAGCAGCAAGAGAAGGTGAAGTGGAGACAGATTTGTTTTACTTTGATCCCAAAGTGATCAATTGGGATGATTATTTCTTGAAGATTCATCTTCCTTGTGTGGCTAAATATATTTTCAAGTGATAGTATATAAAGTGATGAGATACATATATAATAATATATCTATATGTACATCTTTAAGATATGTTTGGGGAAACATGTAATTTTTAAGCTCAAATTTGTACTGGAATAAGTTGTGTTATTTATTTGTTGCTTATTTGTATTATCCAATATCATACTATGTTACTTCTTTCTACTATATTATTTGCTAAAAACAAACATGTACAAACTATATACATGTTCATTCAACAATGATATGTAACATCACAATAAATTCAAACTAAGTTGTTTCTCTTGAAATGGATTAGATATTAGACGAATGAGATTCAACCACCATTGATAATAAATACATAGGACCGGAAATTATCTACTATAATAAAATAAACAGGTATGCTATTCCTACACCTTTTCTTACACCTTACACTCAATGTACTGTTCATAAATATATGAAAAAAATGCTCAGAACATGGTTAATGATATGTATTTTATTGGTTAATGAAGTAGTGAAAGTGGTTAATAAATTATAGATAAAATAATTGGTTTAATGATGTAGATTTTTGTGGTTAATGCAACTGTGAAGTTGGTTAATGCGTAATATTATATTTGTGTTATAAAATAAATTTTAAAAATAAATATATTTTTTTAAAAAAATTAATATTTTAAAAAAATATATTATTTTAATAAAAAAAACACTGTTCACCGTATAAATACGGTGAACAGTGCATACGGTGTATGTATGGGATGTAAGAAATGGTGTCAAAATAGCATTTTTCTAAAATAAACTCTACTTAGGGACCTTCAATAAAATTGGACCCATAAAAAAAATTAGGATGACCTCAGCTCAAGATGCGTGGGTTTGAACCCGCATCCGATGGATATCCGTGTTAACACGACTACTTAGATCACTTTACATTCCTAATAAGAATAATAAATGAAGCCAATATTATGTTGACTTCTAATCATTAGGAGTATTTAGTGTTTTTGTATAATCTTTTGACTTTAAGGTTGTAATTTAATGGTAAAGAGTTTGGTGTAAGGAAGTCTTTTGGGTTGAGCGTATGTAAAATCTCAAGTTGTTGTTAGTGAAAATCTCAATAAGAAACACTTAGAGATTGGAATAGGTCGTGTGGTTTAAGCCCAACCAGTATGGTTTCTCATGTGATCTCTCTAACTCTATCTTTTTACTTTTTATTGTTTATTTTGTTGGATTTAAATTAATAACAATTAATCAAAATATACATGCTCAAGAAACTATAATATACAATTTATATGTGAAAATCAAGCATTTATAAAATTAAAGGATCGATAAAATAATATTTGAATACCTGAATCCATTGAGAAAAATCTCTTTGACGGTAATCCTAAAACACATAATTTGAGGGCTTTTGTGGTTCTTCCTCAACCGGTACTCATCATGCCTCGAGTTCTCTTCAGATGGGGAGAAGAGATAATTTGCTTGTGTACGATATATTGGGAACCATAGCATATATGCAGTGTGATGGCCAATTAGGGTTCCCATTATTCCCAAACGGGTGATCCTTGTTAGAAATAAAGCCTTTTGTGTTTAGTGAAAGTGTGTGGGAATATTAGAGGTTTGAACAGAAACTTGATAGATAGGAGAATTATTTATGGAAGAGAGAACTTTTTATTTTGCTTGATACAAAAGTGTAGAATTACATATCTATTTATAGTACTCTAAGGAGAACTCTAGACACATTAATTCTAGAGAGTTCTCAACTATAGGAATTCCAATAACATTCTAGAAAATATTACAACCCTAAAAAATATCTAGACACTCCAAACAGTTACAAGAGTTTTCTAGAAACATTAATTAAAATGACCTAATCCCAAAATAACTAAGCCCAAAAATCCAAATAATATATCTAGACCCAAATCAAGTTTAATCTTTCAACATCCCCCCTTAAACTTGACTTGTGACTCCAAGCATACTCCTTAGCTTCACAAAAGTTTCCAACTTAAGTGGCTTTGTGAAAATATCGGCAACTTGATCTCGAGACATCACATACTTCACCTTCACATCCTTCTTCTCGATGCATTCTCTTATGAAGTGGTAACGGGTGTCGATGTGCTTACTTCTTTTATGAAATACAGGATTCTTTGCCAAAGCAAGTGTTGATTTATTGTCAACACATATTTCTATAGGATCTTTTTGTGGCATTTTTAACTCTTCCAACAAGTTCCTTAGCCACATTGCATGGCAAACGCATGATGTAGTGGCAACATATTCGGCTTCACAAGTTGACAGTGTGACGATAGGTTGCTTCTTTGACATCCAAGTGAAAGCAGTATCTCTCATAAAGAACATAAAACCAGTAGTGCTCTTTCTATCGTCCAAGTCTCCACTCAAATCGCTATCACTATAGCCAACAATATCATAATTTTTAGAAGAGTAATATTACAAGCCAAAGTTTATTGTACCTTTGATGTATCAAAGGATTCTCTTTGCCGCCTTGAAGTGAGTTGTTGTTGAAGCTTCCATATAGCGACTTACGACTCCTACAGCATAAAGAATATCTGACCTTGTACTTGTTAAGTAACGTAGACTTCCAACCAAACTTTTGTAAAGAGTTGGATCCATAATCTCTCCATTTTTATGCTTACATAACTTGCTGCCACATTCCATCGGGATGCCAACCGGATTGGTATAATCCATCTTGAACTTCTTAAGGACTTCTTTTGCATAGCCTTCTTGGGTGATAAAAATTCATTTGTCTTCTTGCTTTACTTCAATGCCAAGATAATATGCCATGAACCCCATATCTGTCATCTCAAATTCATTTGACATATCTTTCTTGAACTCTTCGAACATGCTTAGATTTTTCCCAGTGAAGATCAAGTCATCAACATATAAGCATACAATCAAAACATCTTCACTTTGCGCTTTAATATAGAGTGCATGCTTATATGGACACTTGATGAAGTTCTTGTCTCGAAAGTACTTATCGACTCGAACATTCCAAGCTCTCGGTGCTTGCTTGAGTCCATACAACGCCTTTTTCAACTTCAAGACTTTTCCTTATTGCCCTTTTACTTCGTATCCCTGTGGTTGCTCGATATAAACTTCTTCTTTGAGAAAACCATTCAAGAAGGCCGACTTCACATCCATTTGATAGATCTTCCATTCATTTTGGATTGCCAAAGAAATGATCAGTTTATTAGTTTCAAGACGAGCAACAGGGACAAATACCTCATCATAGTCAATTCCTTGTCTTTGACTAAAGCCTTTTGCCACCAATCTTGCTTTGTATCTCTCCACGTCTCCTTTTGCATTCTTCTTCGCCTTGTACACCCATCTTACTCTGATTGCTTTGTGTCCTCATGGAAGTTTAGTAATTTCCCATGTATCATTCTTCGTGATTGACTTTATTTCTTCATCCATGGTGTCTCTTCACTTTACGTTTTCAACAGCTTCTTGATAGCTTAGAGGCTCGCAATCACCAAAAAGACAAAAGAGGTTAATGTTATTTTGGTTTTCGGTTACTTCATAAAGCTCTTCAATGCTCTTTTCGTGGTGCCCTCTCACTTGAGCTTGTTTCATCCAATCTTGGTGTCAGTGAGGAGGGTGGTGTAATATGTTCCTCTATCATTGGTTGTTCCATTTCATTATCTTTTTCTTCAACATAAGGAAGAAAATTGTACTTGTCTTCTTGAACACTCAAATCCCAACAATCTTCTTCTTCGAACTCCACGTCACGACTTATAACAGTTTTTCCACTATTTGGATTATAGAGCTTGTACCCTTTGGAGCTTGAGTCGTAACCCACAAATACATACTTCTCACTTTTATCATTGAGCTTTGTTATCCTTTCATCTGGAACATGGGTATAGGCAATGCTTCCAAACACTTTAAGGTGAAAGATCCCTGGCTTCCTTCCATTCCATGCTTCTTATGGTGTCTTCTCATGCACACTTCTTGTTAGGGAACGGTTTTTCAGGTAAATCGCACATGCCACTACTTCGGCCCAAAACTCTTTCGGCATCTTCTTACTCTTAATCATGTTTCGCACTATATTAAGTAGGGTCTGGTTCTTTCTCTCTGCTACTCCATTTTTTTGTGGCGATCTTGGCATTGTTAGTGGGCGGCAGATTCCATGGTCTTCACAATATTTGTTGAACTCATTTGTTAATGGAAAGACCACTTTCTTTCTCCACAAGGGCTTTGAACTTCTTAAAGTTTTCAAACACTTCCGACTTCTCCTTCAAGAAATAAACCCACTTTTTTCTGGAATAATCATCAATAAATAGGAGAAAGTATTTACTCTTACCAAAAGAGTTTGGATTGATTGGTCCACAGACATCAGTGTGTATGAGCTCTAGCGGTTTTGTCGCTCTTGACGTTGATTCCTTTGGAAAGCTTTTTCGAAATTGCTTCCCAATTAGACATCCTTCACATAGTTGGTCTGGGTGATTCATATTAGGCAAGTCTCTTACCATCTCCTTCTTTGACAAACATTCTAGACTGCCGAAGTTGAGGTGTCCAAATCGTAGATGCCACATCCACGAAGATTCGGTATAACAAGCCTTGAGACACTTTACCACATCATTTTGAATGTTCAAGAGGAACATTCTATTCTTTGACATGGGCACCTTAGAAATTAAGTTATGCCCACAATCTCTTAAGAAAAGACTATGTTCTTTCAAGTGGACGTCATAACCTTTCTCTAATAATTGTCCCAAGCTCAAAATATTATTTTTCATGTTAGGAACATAGTAGACATTGGATATGAATTGATGACTCCCATTCTTCAAGCATATGAGAATTTTACCTTTTCCTTTGACCGGTATCTTTTAGTCATCTCCAAATGAGACATTGATAGTTGTCGCTTCATTGATCTCTATGAATATGCTTCGATCACGTACATGTGGTTGCTTACGCTGGTGTCGAGGTACCACTTGTTTCTTTTCACTTCAAATTGGTTTTGGCACGCGAGCAGCAAAGTTTCTTCTTCTCCACCTTTTTCTTCTACAAAGTTAGCTTTCTCCACAACCTTCTTTGAGAATAT